TTTTAATGGCAGATTGCTATTTATTTTCAAATAGCGGTTTGATAATGAATTTTACAAAAATTTCAAAAACAAAAATTAATGCAATCTTTGAATCAATAGGATTTATGTAACGAAGGCAAAAATGATTAACATGAATATTTTCCAGGAGGGAGAGACATATAATGTCTGTGATGTCAATAAGAAAGAGATGAAAAAGAAATAAAAAGAGAGATCAATTAATGAAAAGAGAGAAAGATGAAAATTGGTAGGCTTACGAGTATGTAAGTGTAAACATAAAGTATACCAAGCAAAAATTTTTTAAATCAATAAATTAATTACTTATATTTTAATAAATATTTTTACTGTGAATTGTTTTTTCTTTTACACATTGGAAATTATTTTATGCTATACATTTATTTTATTGAATTCTTTATGATTGATCATCAATAAAAAAAGCATTTTTTATATTTCAATCTGTTTTGCTCTATTTTGTGCCATTATACATTTTAAATCCTTTCGTCAATATTCATTTTTCATCATCTTCTCTCTAGTGATGAACAACATTTTGGGTGTTGAAATTGAAGTTTAACATTTCAATATCAATGATAATTTAAAAACTGTAGTATATGACCAATTATCTAATGTTATACCAACCTGTTGAAATGTTGATCATCACTGTTACCACTGCTCTGTATATCTCATCATTCGACATTTTATCTTTTTCAATCATTTTTATTCATCTTTCCAGTCATATTCGGATTTTCATTTCTCAATGATATGCTACTTTTCCAAGTCAGTCAGTCAAGAATAACGAGTATTTCAATAAAGTGCAGTTTCATTGTTGGAGTACATCGTTGAGAAATAATAATCTGAATCAATTTATTCTGTGACATATGGTTTAACGTCAAAGGGCCATATGATAAGCCATTTTTGACTCGAAGTGATTCAATTACTTTGAGAACAAATATATGTACAAACAATTGAGAACATATATGAAAGCTTAAAGATTTGTAAAAGTACTCAAATTAAATATCGATTTTAAAAATTTCTTTCATCTTGAATATTTATGCATGTGTGCGATAAAAATATCTGTAATTATTGTGTAATATATATTGTTCACAGTATTTGAATTAAAACTATTGTATGAATTATATTTATAGTCTTTGTAAATTTGTGGCTTCGTATATTTCTTAAAGTTACAGAATAATTATCTATATCATTCCGAATCATTTTCTCTCACTTTGAGCCAAGTATCACGTCCGTAGGTGCCTAATCGTAAATAGATCATGAAAAAATAATCTCTCACGTTACGTGGCAGGCTGTATACCGACGTCGTACTTAATTTTTTTCATTACTCTTGATCCATTCATCAACAATTATTAATTTAATCATTTTTGGCTACATTTTGGCATTAGTAAATTATTTTTTAACGAATTTGCTATTTTTAATTGTATTATTATTATTTTACATTTGTTGTGCTTTTTAGCTTTGATTTACTTTTGAAATAAAATTATGGAGGTTTTTTTTTGAAATTAAAAACAAAATAATATATCGATTCTATTAAATCAACTTTTTTTCTGGTGTGCATTATGTAAGATATATATTGTAAACACTTTTTCGTAGGCCTCACGTTATTATATATTGTGAATACCCGTATATAAATATTTTTTCAATCAAATTTATAATTATCATTCATCGATAAATATCAGTAGTAATGATGTCCCTGTTACGTAATCGTTATCATATTTTCAATCGACGTCAATCTCAATTCGAAAATTCAAAAAAACAACGTGATTTTTCATCTCATTACAGCGGTGCACGCTACCGCGGACAAATTTCAATTTCATTCAAACAGCTGCTCAATTAGCATTTCAATTAAAATCCAGGGAACAAGCTCTATACCGATTTCGCAAAAAAAAAAGAAGAAAAAATGCGTCTCCGACACGCTGTGCCCCGCTTCGCGCGCGCGCGCCACATTATAAGTGCGAGAGCGACAAATTTATCCAGTTTAAAGCCATTTCGTATCCGTGATACCCTGAGCGGCCGCGTGGGGATCGATTTCGGGTACAGAGAGCGGACAGGTGACATTATAGGGATCGCGCCCGGTGAGCTCGACGTCGCATAAACCCCCGAAACAGGCAGCTCAATACGATTTCGACATGTATAGTGTCGTCGTCGACGTCGTCGTCGTCCGTCCGTCCGTCCCACTCCTCCTCCTCCTCGTCGCTGTCAGGTGTCAGATATATCTGGAGAGAGACCTCGAGCGACCGAGAGCACAAGGGAAACTAGATTGTTTCGGTTTAGACACACGTTAGGCTAATCAGTTGGCTAATGAGTTGGCTGCCGTCCGAGGCCTATCTCGCATCGCGCACGACCGTATTTACATCTCAAGTGGATTAATGTATCGTGTACCCATATATATCGTCAAAAGCACACTCGTGATTAATTTCTTTTCTTTTCTTTTTCTTCTTTTTTTTAATCTCAATCTTTTTGAACGTCGAAACGTGGGAACACGACGATACGCTTTATAGATAATAGGAAAAGTTGAAAATCATATATTGAATAAAATCCTTAGAAGTGGTTAAAAATTTTCCTTCTCCCCGAGCTGTTCGTACGCGCATGTGTTCGTATGTACGTATTATTATATATATCTCGTAGAGAGAGAGAGAGAGAGAGAGAGTCGAGCAAGGGAGACTAAAGGAATAGAACGAGCAGCAGCAGCCAGCAGACGAGTCGCCCGCGGGGTTTCTTTTGCGCCGAGACAGCCTAGAAGCCGGGCTTGCAAGAAGCTCTCGAAAATCTGCCACAAGTTATCACACTTGCGAAAACTCGATTTTCTCCCGAGTGAATGAAGAGAGAGAGAGAGAGAGAGAGAGCAAGGCGAGCTACCAGAGAGAAAAAAAAGAAAGAAAAAAAAATAGCAACCGTATATATATATCTATATCTATATATACCGCTCGCATACCTGTATTAAAAGCTAAGCAAGCGAGTGTGCGAGGCAAGTAGAAAAAAAAATGACGACGTAGAGAGAGAGAGAGAAGATGGAAGGAGGGAGAGAAAAGAAAACTCATACAAGTTAGGAGAAATAGAAGCTGAAAAATGCGATTCGTTGAAAAGTAACGGCAAATTGAAAAGCGCGTGTCAGGCACCAAAGAGAGTATATACTTGCATTATTAATTAATAATACTGAAGAGAAAACGAAATAGGAGCGATCGCGAGGTAACCAATTTTTTTTTGTTTTTTTTTTTTAATAAATGATAAAAAAATCATGTATCCGGCTTTACCGATCACGCGTTACACTTTACAGTTTATAAGGCTAAAGCTCGACCTCCTCGCGTATACGTACTATTATTATATTAAAAAAAAACTGCATTTGACGCCGTCATCGGAAAAGGGGTAGAATCATAAACTCGGTTCCGCAAGCTCTCGCAAGCATATAGTTCGCCTATACGGTAGCAAATAGTAACAGTTGTAGTAGTAGTCGTAGTTGTAGTAATGGCAAAAGTAGTAGTAGTAATAGTAGCAGCAAAAGTAGTAGTGGTAGTAACACCTCTGGGCGTTGATATCGCGCCACACATACAGCTTCCACACATCCTTCTAGCCTAGCCTATAGCTGCGCCGCGTTCGTTTCGGGGCTCGAAAAAAAGGCTTTGATCCTGCCGCTGCTGCACCATATACCACTCGCTCTGTACAACGTATATATTATATATATTCGAAGCTATACAGTCAAAGCCAGTTAACCCTCTCTCTTTCTCTCTCTACTCTTTCACGGTATGGCCGAGCGAAAATCGAAGGATAAAGAAAAAATGGCGAACGCGCGTAGCCGTAGCCTAGCACACACACACACATCCGTACAGTAGTCCAGATATCTTGACTTTTTTACACATTTCGATTTTCTCTACCTTAACGTAAAAAATACTTTTTCAGCTTTTACAATAATAATAATAATAACGATAATAATGATAAAAAAAGAATCTGCGGCTTCGCAATAAAGGATCTCTTTTTGTATTTTATCTTTTCTCTTTCTTAACGATAATTATATATATCTAGATTTGTGCTGGTGGATTGTTTCTCTTTTTTTTATCTTGTGACATATAATACCCATATATTAATGAAAAGCGTTTTTGCATAACTGTTGATGAAAAATAAATATTTCTTTTGTATACTAACTCGATATAGTTTATATATAAATGACTCTGGATGAAGCATATATAACGTATATATTTTATATAGCAATCTCCTATTCTTATGATATTACCAATTTGTAAATAATATTTATATATTCAGAATAATCGATTTTTCAAACTATTAATATCCATAGATTTACATAAAAATGTTTTTGAAAAATTATGCATGACTTGGTTTTTTCTATATAATTTTACAAAATTCATTTACATCACTAATGAGATAAAAAAAATCAAGATCTTTCGAGTGAAGGATCTAGCAAGGTGTCAGGTTTTTTTTTACTTATAACTCCATCAAGGAATATACTTTTATGACTTGAAGAACATGATGATTAATAAATTTGCTTTGACTTCTCTTGGCTTATATCTTTAACTTTACTGGCACAAGCTTTACGAAAGTTAAATAATCTTATTTTTTTTCTGATTAAAAACCGAATGAAGCATTTACAAGCATTAGCAAAGTGTTAACTTGCCAACGTAATCTCCACTAATCTCTTATGTTACATTATATTATTCATCAAAACCTGATTCACCTTTAATTTATAGCATAAATAGAAAATAATATAATTAATTCAAAATTAAATTTTTTTCATTTTTACTACTCACAACTTTTCATCTATATACAATTTAAAATGTCCGCAAATTGTGTGCGTTAATAATAATCATATATATATTGTACTATTTTTAACATTATTCAAGTCCACTAATTCTCATTTGGGACAAAAAAAAGAATCATTCTCTTAAATCGATTCGAGAGAAAATAGTTTTTTTTTGCAATTCAGCCGAATTATATACCGAACCCGAATAAAATCGTTATCGTTCGTTGTGTGGTTGCAGCCAACGCGAAGCCGCTGACGTTCGACGAGGTTTACAATCAGAGCAGCCCGACCAATTGCACAGTCTACTGCGGCGGACTGACCAACGGTCTCACGGAGGAGCTCATGCAGAAGACCTTCTCGCACTTTGGCTCGATCCAGGAAATTCGAGTTTTCAAAGACAAGGGCTACGCTTTCATCAGGTACTGTACAACCTGGACAGAGTATCTCTGTCATTTTTTATTTTTTTCTGTCCTTTCTTCCCTTTTGTCCCGATGCCGCCGTGCTACCTCTCTTGTATACACACACGTCCGCAGCGAGAGCACACGTATCCCCAAACGCGCGAGTCACTACTGCAATGGTGTTTTGCTCCGCTGTGCTCTCGATTTTTCTCATTGTTCCACAAAAATAATTGGCATCCGATAGCGAGGCAAAATTGACCGTCGTTGTGCGATTTTTATTTTCTTCAACTCAGCACAAAAAGCAGCAGCAGCAGCAGAGGGGTACAGAACAGCAGCAGCAGTAGTAGCATCGGCAGCTAAAATGCTGGAAAATACGTGACTTCGCGTGGTACTACTACTAGCTCGAGGTAGCAGCGGCGGTGGCAAGACTTCGCAATGTGAAAAATGCTAGTCTTTGAAATGAAATTAGGCTTGTTATTGTTCATTTAAAGATAAAATCAATTCTTTCTGGGCTTCTGCTGCTGCTGCTCTCGTGCAGCTCAATTTTTCTTCTCAATCTGTTTCGCGCACAACTACATAAATACACCGCGGGCAGGCACGGGCGGGCGGGCGCGCTCTCCGCCTCACGTTCGTTTGAGCATCGAGGAATCATGCCTCGACTCCACGATTCTCGTTAAAAACGAAATCTTCCGAGGGGGTAGTAGGGGTAGGTAGAGAAAGAGAGAAGAATAAAAAAACACACGGAGCTCCTCGATTCGGGCGATTGTCTAACGGAGCAAGAACAGAAATAATTATACCCAGCGGTAGTTCGGCCTCGAGTATTTTTATTATTTTATCATTTTTGATTAATTCATCTGCCTGTATTTTTTTTTTGCTCTCGTACGTGTTGGTCGAATCAAAACGTCGAACTTTCGGAACGAAAAAAAAGAAAAGCACGTACACGTACACAGAGAAAGACGTCATATGCACACCGCATAGTATACGGTAACGACTATAGTCTCGATTTCTCCTTGCCCAAGTCCGAAAAAGCGTCTCGCGACGGGGTTGTTCGCTCGTATTATATAGGCGCGCGCGCGTAGAGAAAAGATCGAAGCAAGCACAGTAGCACGCGAAATGCTGACGCTGTGTATGGGCCATCGACGACGACGACGACGAGAACTGCACACCGCACATACTGCTATACCATGTGGCCATTCTGTCTGTCTCTCAGTCCATGGAAGTGGGTATGTGTGTGAGCAGCAGTAGTATATAGATCCCCAATCCTTATACACATTGTGTCCGAGCTCGAGTCCATTCAGCGCCGGTCCTATATATATACACACACACACAGTCTACCCGCCTAATTGCCCAGTGCTCGATTCTTCGCACGCCCCGGCCATAGCATATACCGTATAGTAGCGAGTAGTCGAGCTCGAGCTCGAGCGAGCCCCCGGAAACGGACGTCGTAGCGTTGGAATGACGAATGGAACGAGTTGGGAGGGTAATATTCTTTGTCCCACGTGTATAGCAGCAGCAGCAGCAGCAGCAGAGAGAGTAGAGTCCTGTGTGTAAAAGTGAGGGAGAAAGAGAGAGAGAGAGTCGGAGCGAGAAGGGCTACTTATCGACGGTATTAGGGGAGGAAACAGGAAAGACGATACTTTCCGTTCTTTCCTTTTTTTTTCTGATCCTCTTTTTTTTTCCTCTTTTTCATTGCTCTCTCGCGCTGCTGCTGCTCAGCTATCCTCTTTTCTTCCGGAAGAATATCAGAGAGAGAGTTAGCTGCTGCTGCTGTATCGATGAACTTTCCTGCACGGCTATTAATTCGCGCGCGTATATAACGACGAAAATTACACGCGGATACATAATTCATCGAAATAACAAACTGTACATAATACACACAGAAGCGCACAAATTTTCCCTTGGGATATCCTATGTCTTTTATACCTCCGATAAAATATTTATCATTACATTATGTTTTTTTTCCTCTTTATGTTTTTCCCTCGCTTGATGTGCGCATCGAGCGCGTCTGATTCAATCCATCGGGTCGCGCGCTTAGAGCGTGGGATGAATTTTCCACGTGTATATACGTATAACGTTTGCTACAGAGATAGAGAGAGAGATAGTATAATTTGCATCAGGTAGTTGACTGACGCTGAAATAATCACTTAGGCAAGGCCTGAAATATATAACGTACACATCTCACTCGGCCCAAACTCGCGCTCGACTGATTTGCATTTCACGGAAAAGCCTTCATAGAGCTTTTACAAATTAAATGTGATTCTCTCTCTCTCTATCTCTGTCTGCAAAGAGCGCGCGGAAATTTTATACAAACGCGTATATATACCGAGTTGTACGAACGTAACTTTACTGTATTATCGAATTATTTTCGTTTATATGTATGTCTGTATGTATAAATACGTCGACGACGACGACGGCTGAGCGGTTAATGGTATTTTTTGCCTTTTGCAAATTGGCGCGCGATTTAATTTTTAACTGCCGCGCAAACTTGACAAATTGACGCGTGCGCGCGTCTCGCTACGTGCATACTTGTGTAATTTTTGTATGTTGATGCAAGAGCAAAAGAAAAAAGAATCGAATCATCTCGTATATATCGGTGGGCATGTATTACATTTCGCAAGCCCGACACACATCCTATTTTCGAAGCAAAAATAAGTTCGATAATAATCGTTTTTCGTGTGTTTTCTTCTTCTCACGCACAGGTTTTCAACGAAAGAGTCGGCGACGCACGCCATCGTGGCCTTACACAACTCGGAAATAAACGGCCAAACGGTGAAGTGCAGCTGGGGCAAGGAGAGCGGGGATCCCAACAACGCGCAACAGACTGGACAGGTAAGGCAAAACGAATATTATTGTTATTATCATTATCGAGTCCTTGACGTGAAAATTGGCTATCCATTTTCCACAATTAGCGGTCTGAGATTGTTCATTCGGCCAAATTTAAATGACGATCGTATATCAGGTGTACAAAACGGTCGAAAAAGAGCTAGCACTCCTGTGTGCGAGGCGAGCGAGAGAGAAAGCCAAAGGAGCAACCAACCTGTCGAAGCTAATCCCAAGTAAGATTGACGGCTAATGCGGCTTTGCGGTCGTAGCCTCGAAGCTCCAACCCACAGTTCGAGTCCCTATACCTCTATGTGTATGTGTGTGTGTGTGTGAGGGTTGCCTTTCGCGCGTTGTGCACATTTAGCCCTCACCCCGCACCCTCCCTCCCACCTTTCGTTTCAGACTTGAAGGAGGAAAACGCGTTCGCCTCTATTGAACTTTACGATTATCGGCGACCGTTACGTTTCGACTCGCGCGCGCGCGGCGCTTTCGGGGCACATTTCTAAGTGGAAACGTACACTGCTACCTATACTACCACCGCGCGGGATATATAATGAATACAAGCGTTATGCCTCTAGGGCTAAATGGAGGATGAGAGAAAGAGAGGAGAGGTGTAGAGGTAGCCGAGGCTATTATATGGGGTATAAGGGCTTTTTCGCCCCCAAAGGATTTTTACCCCTTTTTCCGAAGCAGCATTCGCAGTAGTAGCAGCCAGGATTTGCCAGGGGGGCTTAGAAGAGTGAGAGAGAGCGAAAGAGCGAGACCACAAAGAGGCGGATTTTTCTACTGAGAACAACCATAGGTTTTAGTTACGATATCAGTATTGGCCCCGTTAAATGCTCGCCCTGCCATTCTCGAATGGCCATTGCGGCAGCGAAAAGAGAGAGAGAGACTATTAAAGGTGAGAGAAATCGAGCGCGCAATTGATAAGTCAAAGCATAAAAATGATCTCGCAATTTTCCCCCGGACCCACCGCGGAACTTCTTTTTCTTCGCGCGTGCGCTTGATTTTCTAGATCTCGCGTGCCTCTTTCCAATTCGTTTCTTACTTTTGCTAAAAAAATGTAGGATTGTTCAAGCAATCGTGTTTTAATCTATGTACACCGAATGAGCGTGATTTATATATTGAAAGAAAATTGGACTCGTTTCTATTTTTAATTACAGATAATTTGTATTTTTATCAAATAAATATGAACTTCGACTGATAAGTGTGAAATTTTGCCTGCACAATTTTTCAGTTATTGACATGGCGTTAATGTTCCTTTTGGGTATAGTCTTACGAATTTGCCATCTTGTCAACCTTCATCACTAGATGGCGCGTATCATTTTTTGGCGAATCCGCAAGTAGAAAAGTAAAGATAATTGTATAAGTATGATTCAATTTTTGTACATTTTGCCTTTTAGTTTCTCGTAGCATCGGGCGAAAAAAACCAAGAATCGCGCGTGCGTGTGTGTGAGTGTGTGTTATAGTAGCAAAAGTAAACTCTGCACGAGCTGTCGGGTTCGAACAATCGAAGTCAACCCCCCCACCGCCTGGTTTCTCGAGATTCGCGACTTATTCTACAAGCTTCGAGGGAAACTGAACATCTATCGAATACATATATATAGCTCGTGGTAGAGAAAGAGAGACTGCATAATAATCCAATCCCACTGGCTGTGCTCTCTGTGTGTGTAGAAGTGTGAGCGAGCGGCGCAGCATCTCGCTCGGCTATACGTACACGGCATACATCTATATAGGCACATTCAGGGGAGGATGGGAGGTGAGCTTGCAGGGCGCGTTATGGAAATAGGGATCAATTAGGACGATGTCACGATAGTAACGGACGAGACCGCGAAAACGAGATGACTTGCGAGCGAATCTATATGTGTTATATATACGATCTCTGTGTGAGTGAGTTCGATGAAGAGAACGACGAGCTAGGGAAAGAGAGTGAGAAGGTGGATCGTAGCAGTCGAGGAAAGACACACGCTGCTGCTGCTCGGATAGATATATACATACACGATGTAGTCAACGAGGCATTAATCAAGTAAAATAAGAGCTAGCTACTACTACTCGCCGAACTCCGTGAGAGACAGAGAGAGAGAGAAATTATGCTTATGTTACATCGTCGGTGGCGAGTTCATCGACATCTCCGCTCGACAGGAGCTGCCTCTAGATATAAGCTGCGACGGTGAGATCGATCCCAACCCCTCGCCGAAAGTGCGGTCTATATAATATGCACACACCGTGTCGCTTCTCGAAACTTGGTCGAAAAATTCAATGCAACGATTAAACGTATATTTTTTTTATTTCGAGATTGCGAGCTTGCGATCGTTATAACATACATAATAATACACCGTCGAGTCGAGAAAGAAGAAGCGAGAGAGAGAGAGAGAGAGAGAGAGAGAGAGAGAGAGAGAGAAAGATAAGACTCGAGACAATTGTCTATCTGAGCGCGCGCGAAGAGAGTAGTTGCGGTAGTTAGCGCTATCTTCTTCGCTCTCTCTCGCCCGGAATAAAGACGGGCCGAGAGATCCGCGACAATGACGTTCTCGGGCGCGGGTTCGTAACCGGGCACGCGTCGCAGTAGCAGCTTGAGCTTGCGGAGTATATAATATCCCCGAGCACAGTGCTCCATATTCCTCGAGATTCGGTTTATATAACTCCATTTGTTCGTGCGGGTTGAGTCGCTCGCTCGCTCGCTCGCGCCTCGGCTAATTGCTATAAGAGGCAGCAGCAGCAGCAGCGGTGGCTCGGTGAATGGGAGCAAGATCCCCATTAGGCAGTACCCAAAACTTGCTCGTATAGTTGCAGCAGCTATATAGTCGTCTACCGCCCCCCTTTGACCAAAGAGCAAACTCGTTCCTCGTACAGTTCTCTCTCGCTCAATAATTCACTAGCTCCGATCGCGTATATACAATACGCCTTGATTTTCTCTCGTATCGAGACATCATCGAATCCCCGACTCGTGAAACGAAATTCTCCATAATAATTCTCTCTTTATCTCGCTCTGCAGGCGCTGTCGTCGGCAACGTATCCGTATTACGCGGCGGCGGCGGCCGCTGCCGCGGCTGCAGCCGGTGTCGCGGGCGTCGGCGGCGTCGGCGGCGTGGGCAGCGCCGGCCAGCTCGGCTACTGGTACCCGCCCCAGTCCTATCCGACCACGGCCACCCAGATGCAGGCCGGCGGCTTTTTACAGGGCATGCAGGGCGCCTACACCACGTACGGACAGTTCGCCGGCTATCAGCCCTCGCAGTACATGGGGTAAGCGAAGAACATAATATATTTTCAATCGTTTCGAGCAGCTATCGGGGGTAATTTTCGAGCGTTGATGTATTTTATTGACACAGAATGGGCATGGGAGTCCACGCAGCAGGTACGGCGGCCGGATGGGGCCAGGGTCTGCCAGCCGGGCCCCAGTTGCCGCCCCATCACGCGACCGCGGTCACGGCGCCGCCCGGCGTGCAGGCCGCGGGTCCGCCGCCACCTCCGCCCGCACAAATGATGGCCTATCCGATGCAGCAGTTCCAGGTAAAGTATCTCTCGATGTCCTATACATACTGTTTTTTTTTATTGTCAAACGTTCGGAAGGATATATTATATATATACGAAATTGTGTTTACAATTATATGTGTGTGTTTGCGATATAATATGCACGTGTATTCAATAAACGATAAAACGATTGCAACGAGTCACGTCGATCATTTTGGATTTCACGAAATTAAAGCAAAGTCTTGACTCTTGCAATCACCAAAAAAAAAACAAACTTTGGCTAAGGCTCTTTACTGTGACTGCATGATGGTATATAATTTGAGATTGAACATCGTTCGATGAATTATGACAAAAAAGTGTATACACGTTGTTTTTGTATAAACTGATTGACGCCGATATCATCGTAGTTTCAGATAAAAGTAGACCTTAGTCCTCCTTTCTTTACAACTTTTATGCATTGGTTTTTCATTTTATGGTAGTATTTGCACTGTTTTATGAATATTGATTTTTTCGATAATTGTTGATAATTGATGCTTTATAATTTTATTAGATTGTGCCTTATTATATTTCAGTGTCATTAGTAGTTTTCGAATTGTTGATTCATGTTCAAAAGTTGAGAGAAATTTTTTAATCAAAAACTACTTGAAAGTAAATTGGTCGTTTTATCAGGAGCTCCATTATATAAATCGCTTACATTTGAAGCTATAGAGCCAAGCTGTTATGTTCGAAAATATTTTTTTTTTGTCAAGAAAAAAAAACCTAAATTTCTTTGAAAAAGTTTGATGCCTCGAAAAATCAATATTTGTAGATTAAAGCACGTTGATCAAGGTTGGGTGAGCTTTCGTGGTCATACAAACGGCAGTCGATGCAATCGCACGTAAATCTGTATTTTGATATACATTGAGTTTGAAAATTGCTTGTTTCTTTTTTTTCTCCCGGGAAAAAAATCATTGAAATCGAGTAAGCATGAATTTAAAGAATGAACAAAAAATAACTACAAAAAAGTCGCTCGATTTTAGTATCAATCTTTTTGAACTTGAATTTTTTTGAAAAATGTGCTGACCTATATTTTCATGCTCGTGTGCTCTCTTTGCAAAATAAAGAAAAAAATCATTTGAAAATTTCCAATGAAAAATGTGGAAATGTCAAAAGAACGCAAGTTTCGGCGTATTTTTCAAATCCGTCGAAAATGTGAAATTTTAATTGAAGTAAATGACACAGCTACGGTACAATTCAAATGTAGCAAAGCATCAGCATATTTTTCAAGTCAAATAAACTAACTAGCTTTGTTGGAAACAGTAAATTTCAAATTTCATTTTTCAAGTTAAACAAGAGTAACAATTAAAAAAGTAAATTACGTTGTTTTGATGCCTTGATGTAAATGCATTCAATTATTATTAAATGTATGTATGTGTTCTATCATTGTATAACAAATCTCACCCCTTCTTGACTAAAAAAAAAAAAAAAACGATCACGAACACCAAAAAATGAACTTAACCAATGCGTTTCTGTGTGTTCAAATTCGTAAAGTGTGTTCTTGGTTGCGGTCCAGCTAGCGGATGAGGACTGGCTGACGCCTAGCCTCCTAGTGTGATGGTAAGCAAGCGCGAAGTCAAGCCCTCCTCCTACTCGTCGCCGCCGACAGCAGGACCGATCGCTGGCCCCCTCATGCCGCCACGACCCGACTCAACCGCTGCGATAACGTTAGGTCAGACAGCCACTACTACTAGTACTACTACTACAACTACCACAACTACTACTACTACCACTACTACTACTACTACTACAACTACTATCACAACTATAACAACAACAACTACCGATACTGCTACGATGATGACGCTGACGAGCCTCTTGATGATGATCACGATGCTGATGGCGATCACGACGAAGATGCAGCGATTGCAGATCAATCAGCCACGCAAAAGACAACCGATCGACGCCGTTGAATCAAAGACTTATTATTATGAGAATACACCCATGAACACAGTGCCACTACCCGCTTAAAACAAAAAGCAACAAAAAAATAATGAAAGAAAGAAAAATCATTTAACGACAAGCAAAGAAAAAATTATATTTAAACGCATATATACAAAAAATATATATTTAGAAAACGAAACCGTATATGCGAATATTATAACACGTCGGTGTCTGTTTGTGTGAGCGTGAGTAAAAAAAACCTGCGTATTATTGAACAAAAAAAATGAAACAAAAATACAAAAAAAAAAAAAAAAAAAAATCATCGGTAGTATGTGGACAGATATGCAGTACGATTAAAGTCGTACGCCAAGTAGTAGCGCGTCTCGATGATCGGACGATATATATTACTATATTTATATTAACGAATATATTATTATAATATATATAAAATGCTGAGACGGATGTGGTAGCATAAAATTTAAACGTGAGAAAAAAAACCAAAAAAAAAAAAGAAATAAAATAAACATTTAATGTAGAAGGATCGTGTGAGCGGTCGCACACGCGCGACGACGACGGCCGACGAGATGCGAAAATATATGTATATTATTATAGAGGACGGTTACGAGTTCGACGGTTTTATTCAGTGTTCGCGACGAAATAGAGAAAAAAAATTACGAGTGACGACAAAAGTTTTACTTCCAAGAGTTCAAGAAAAGCGGATATTGTTACGATATCTCTGATGAATGACGCGCAACGAATGGAAAAGAAAAAAAAATTGATAGCAAAATATTAACAAAAAAAAAGTAAAAAGCCGCAATTCGTTATTTTTGTAGATTTATCATCGAAAAAAATGAAACAGAGAAAATCTGATTTTTAAAGAAGAAAAAAACTAAGTACGATTTGACACGCTGATAATGCTCTCATTAAGTTCTATTGCGTAAATGTTAATATAATCATACCGACCACTCGATGACATATATATGATGACAAAAAAAAACATCAGATGATAAATTTAGCGTAACCGAAGGTGCATTTTTGAGTGAAAAAAAGTGTAGTAGTAACGCAATCGAATATATAGGAAAAAAATCATAATCTGTAACGTGAAATATGTGAGAGACGCGAGAAGTTTAGTTAAAAGTAAAAAAAAGCGATAGTTAAATATATTTACTGTCTAGCAGCAAGTAGATAGTTAGATAGGTATATATTATATTAATATACGACAGAACGTGGCAGTTCTCTTGATCCCGTAAAAAAAGGGGCCGAGCCAAAATTCGACGGTTGACAACGAAATCGGCCACGCGGCATGAAAAGCAACAACATAAACTAATGAAAAAAGAACATGGAAAAAGATCTCGGTGAAAGGAAGAAATTATCATTTTTTGTGAATCTGCGGTATAAAGTCTAGAGCTACTCTCGAAGCAATACTTGGTCAAAAAGAAAAAAAAATTTTATAGCAAAAAAAAATGGGAACAAGTGCGAGTTATCTGACTTTCGATGAAAATATTTTTGGCACTGCGACGTAAAGTTTATGAGAAAAAAAACGCTAATAATGATTTAAAAAATTACGACGACGTGATATCTATCAAAGTAGCTACGATACTGTAATGTACCATGATTTCTATCCTCACGGAGATATGTTTTTTCAATGAACTTGATGATACTTTTTTACGGAAAGAAAACATCAGCTATTATTTTTATACAATATCATTTGTACGTAAAAAGTTTTTTACGTAGTTTACTTACTTCATATCACAGAATTTTTTATTCCGAAAAACTTGATTTGAAATCGTTAATGGCGTTAAAGTAAAACTTCATTGAAAGAGCAAAATGTTTTTAGTCTATCTAAGATAAATACATTCAAAATGTCATTAAGAGTTTTTAATCGGATAAAAAAATAGATTTTTTACCATTAGAAAAATTATTATCGATATAAAAAAAAAACGAAACAGCTGTTGTGGGTAGCGCCGAGGACGACGTCTGCACTTCGAATTTCGACTCGACTGAATGTTTCATCCATGCGTACACGAGTACACATGATGCTAAACACTTACTTAGAGTAGATCAACAAGGTATATATAAAAAAAAAAGTTAACGTACATAAGAAAAAAAAATCGAAAGTGGTGCATGAACCTCGAGAAGTGAGAATAAAAAGTAATTATTAAAAAAACAATGCATAGGTAGACACGTAATTGCACACCCAGCACAAACAATAGAAATTTGATAAAACTTGAAGCAAAAAAAAAAAGTAAAGAAAATGACTTACATTGCGAAAAGCACAATATATGTTATAAGAGAATGAGTAAAAATTTTCTGTAGTCGCGTGTCCCGTGCTGTCGCCGACTTCTCGAAGGCTCGAATTAGGGCTTCTATCAACGAATATATTGAGCAAGTGACTTAGTGAATGTTAAAAAAAAATTACAAAAGTAGTTGCAAAGTATGAAAATGCACGTTAAACAATTTCCTTTTTCGTTGGTCATTAGATGAAAAAAAAAAATAGTTTTATACGTGTATCAAAAACAATAGCCGCGTGTCCTACTGCATATAAGGCCCACCAACTGAAATCACCTTGAAAAAAAATAAAGGCTTGAAAAGTTTATCGTAAACCAACTCTAAAAGTATTTTTGGATTATATTTTTGTTTGGGTAAAAAAGCAAATGGAAATGCAGCAGTTATACCGGTTTGTATGAGTTGTATTTGTGATAATCTAATTCAAAAATCATATAAAAACATGAAACCTCATCTATGAACGAGTGTTCAACCTTTTCATAAAAAAACGTTCAGTTTTCATTGCGGAAAATATAACATACGTAAATCATTAGCACAATCATTCGTGATAAAAAATAAATAATTATTTTGAAAAAAAAGTTGCTCACAATGGAGATGAAAATCAATATTTTTCAAAATGCCTCAACCTTCTGAAGCCAATTACAAATGGTCAAATATAATTTTTTTGTGATAATTAAAATTACGTCCTGCTTGATACAAAAATGAATATAATTGTATAAGTTACTTGAAATACAATTTTTAATTTTTGAACATTTACCATAGACAATCAGAGAATTGCATTAAAAAAATCACATGTTTTAAAATTTTTGATAAATTTTCCAGTCATGCTGAAATTTATCAAATGAAATGACGTGAGTTTGCGCGACATTGATTTACATCGAGCAAGTATTTCCTCAGCTTTATTTTCGCTCGAGATTATCAAGTTTATTATATTTCTTTCGATAAATCGGTCAAAAAGACTTTTCATTGTTATTACAGTAACTTTAGAATATCAGAATTCTAATTGGCCATGAAAAATTTAATCATAAAAAAATTGATCGCGTACACGCGCTGGTACTTCTTTACATTTAGCCTTGTAAAGTTTGAAAATGCGTCACACGAGCGACAATGCACGAATAATCGAATGTTATAAATATTATAAATATATAGATATTCATATACATGGAAGTGGATGGATATAAATATATAAAAGTATAGGACATGTATAGAGTCAAATACCGGAAAAGAAAAAAGTATGCATATACACTCTTAAATTTGATAGTTTCAAGGAAAAAAAACAAAAAATATATATACACGATAGATAAATATAACCCTATAAATGACGAAATATGCAAGCGAATACATATTAACAATGAAATAAAGAATAATGAATGTGAATGCCGTAGAGTAGAAAAAAGTAATGATATAAACATTAAGGGCGTACTAACTAGCTAATGTAAACATATACAAATAAAATCATAACTTTTTAAACCGGCAGATGTGTAAATTGTAGTTAGAAAAAAAATCGTAGTTTTTAGATTTAAACACTTGACAGAAGCTTTAAAGGTTGGACGAATGAAGATGATTTCGCGTTTTGTAAAAAAGACAAAAACAAATTACATTGACTTCATCGTGAAAATGAAATTTCATGAATCAAAGTTTTACCTCATTAAAGCTCGTGGAAATTAATCGTCAAGTTTGGAAGATTCGAATGGGAATCAGCCAGTTATTATTTAAATAATCGCGCATTTCACAATGATACTTCACAATGATCTATAACCAAATAATGAACGAAAAGTAGAAGCTTGAATACCACAGGAAAAGAGTATCGGTGATCGTTAAATTATGCGCGTAAACGCTGAAATATAGTTGCGTACATTTTTACACAAAAACCTGGCGACAATGTTTTGCTAAGTACGTGAAAATAATTTTAAATAACGCAGTTTTACTGGGTTAAAAATGATGATTTGTTGTATTTTAGGTTTTTACTTAATTAGAGTACCGATATTAGCATTTTTAAAATGCATTTTTTAAAGTCCTATTGAGCAACAAAGTTGCTTCGAGCAATTAAATTAGGAATTATTACTGTTACGGCAGTTGTTTTTATATTAGCTTTGATACGTTTTTTGAAAAAAAAAGAAATCTTTGAACTACCTGATCCACAGCAAAATTGAACTCGCTGAGAGACAGGTAATAAACGATTGACTACGTATAATTTTTATTTAATTCTTTTGTAATTTTGTTGATGATGTATATTCAACTTTGATGTTACAAAATGTACATAATTAATAAGGAAAATGTTTATCAGTTTATATATTTTATTTTTTCATAAAGATTTATTAATATGAATTTTTAAATTTACAATTAACAAGTGTTCAAGTGAAAAATCTGTTGAAAATTAAATCATAATGCTGTATAAATAGGCAAGAACTGAAAGGCCATGAATTGACAAAGTATTTGAGTATCGGTAATTTTTTTATTGCAGTCAGTTCGCGAAGAAACACATTGTTTTGTAACTAAGAATTTTTTGCCAAATTACTAAAAGTCAATAAAAAGTAACAAATTTTTATGAAACGTTGAAGTATAAATAATGAACAAAAAAAAACAATTACAATTCTTCCAAAACGTTGTAAACGCAATATGTTCTTTTCGTGAAATATTCTTGGTACGAAATGACGACGACCGCAAAGCACTTTCTCTCTCTCTTTCTCGCCAAGAGTTGAGAATTGAAATATTACGCTAAGTATTAAATTTCATTAAAATTATTATTTCCTCGCGTCATAAAAGGAGCTAAATATAATTTGGACAAAAAGGTTGAACAAAAAACATAGTAAAAATGAGTGTCATTAGGGAACACTACTGCTGCACTGTCACACACCGGCGCAGGGCACGAACACACATTTCGCAGAGTTGCGTTCATGCCATCTTTCACTAATTACGCTCGGAGCCTCAGGTGAATTGCGTGAAAAGTAGTAGTTATACTAGGGTACAGTAGTCATAACCCACGGGCAGTGCTTATACTTACGTGTGTGTGTATGTGTGTCGTGCGCGCGAGCGTCAAAAGGCAAAACATGTACTTATTCGTGCATATACGTCGTGTATAAATGATACGACAAACAATGCCGGAATGAAATTCATATAAAACCTCGTCGACTGGAAGAAAAATAAGCTCGCATCTGGTAGATGGATTCCCTACATGATTAAAAATCAAAATTATTTATGCGACGGTCGAAACCCTAATCGATGTTGAAAAAGTAATTAAACGCGATTGATGGTACTTTTTTTTTACTATGATCATTATCGATAAACTGCAAAACAATTTCTCGAACTATTTGCCATAATTTTCAAAATTTAATTATTGACTTGAGTTATAGGCTATTAAAATACGATGAAATGAAATTTACGATATAAGTATGCAATATAAACGTGTAACGAGTAAATAAGTATATTATATAGGAAAAATATTATGTTATTCGGAATCTCTCTCACGAAGCGCGAGTAATCAGCATCGATCCATAACCATTTATTTTAATCGTATTACGAAAAAAGGAAACGAATTAACGGAATGAATTTAACGAGAGAAAAAAAACTAAAATTATGTTTAATTTTGCGCGATTTTACAGACTCGTGAGAGATGGTGCACTCGTAGAACGCTAAACAAAGAAACGAAAACATGTAAGGGCTTGGTAGTATCAATAATCCAGAAATTAGCCGCGAAATCGAAACGAATAGGTAAAAATATGTTGATAAAATGAGGCGCTTGAGGCTCGCAATACATGTGCTATTTAAGGAAAAAAAAAGTAAAGTAAAATAAATAAAAACTTCATTTATCGAACGATACCTATACCTTATTATAAAAAATGTGTTATGTGCAACAAAAGAAATAAAAAACATGTATACCCGAACCTTAGGATGTATGATAAAGTATAACAAAAAAAAAAAACATACATCGTGAATGTTAATCGCATGTGTATATAGACATTAAAAAAAAAAAAATAAAAAAGTACACTCTCACCATGTTCAGGAGTACACCTCTCTTACACTCGGTGCGACAACGAGCGCGCTGGTGTAAACACATCAGACTAAAGCTGCAAGTGATTAATTAAACGTATTGTATTCGACACACAGTCTACTAATTGCGATATATTGTTATTATATAAATGGGAATAAAAAAGAAAATTGTCGTGATTACGTACGCTGTATAACAATTGGTAACAGTTGAATCAAATGCAGGTTATTAGGCGTATTAAAGACACGTAATATATATATACGATAAAATATAAAAGTATATAGATTTAATGTAGACTCAATGTAGATTTTGCGAAATGAAACGAGAGCCAGTGAGTGTTAAATAGATGAGTATTATATCTTTGAATCATTATTAATTGAGGAAGCGTCCGTTTTAACAATAATCCGAAAGAGGGAAAAGAGATAGAGAGAAAAAAAAATGAATACAATACAACCCGATGGTTCCTTTTGTTCTACGTAGGTACTTGATACAATACTATTTTATACGCACGAGTCCAGAGCGTTTAGCCGAATTTTATAATAACGACGAACGAAATGATATATTTTTTTAATGGGTATCGGTATGAATACTTTCAACGCCAATTTTTTCCGTTGTGTTCTTCTGATAATATATTGATATAATTGTTTGAACAGAAAAGCATTTACTGGTAGTCATTGAAATAGTTACCGGCTGAGTAACCGTATTGCTTTTGTCTTTTACTTCATTCTCTATATATAACATTCTTACTGCTTGATTTTCTACTTCATTTGTTCTGTTTTTTCAATGATATTTGACAGTAATTTTCTCTTGTCCTTTTAATAATTAATACTTTATAATATTATCTTCGATACTCTGTCGTTAATAACCGATTAGTTTTGATGCTATTCACTCTTGTTATAACCCTGCTAATTTTACTTCTCTTCTCTTGTAATGGTGGAATTTTGCGTAAAAAACAAAAGGTCAGTAGTTCA